TTTTTGGTTTTAATAAGTTCTAAGTTCTTTTTTCGTTTTTTTTTAAGTTTCTCTAAAAACCCTTTTCCCGATTTTTTTGGTTATATTTCCTCAAAAAATTTAATGAAAAAAAGATGAATTATCCTTCCTTTTCTTTCTGTTATTTAATCTCCATTTTTTCAAGACTTCTATCCTAACCTACGTCATTTTCTTTGTTACATCTTTAAGGAAAAGTCAAAGCCATTGGAAAAAGCTTCCACTTGAATTGATGATTTTATTATGTGATTAAAATAAAACGTTTTATTTCTGTGCTTCTTTTAACTAATTTCAATAAGAGAGAAAGTCTTGTAACCATATTAAGATACATAATGAAACTACTTCAAGCAATGACCATTTCTTTTTTAAAATTTATAATTGATGATATGTTGTAGATTTTCATTTTCTAAATAAAATGGAAAAACAAATTTTCTTTTCTTAAATTTTGTTTTTTTTTTGACAAAAACTTATGCAAGGTCATATCAGAAGGAAAGTTTTGAAAAAAAATATATTTTCCAGAAATTATATTCTGAAGGGATAGTGATGTACCATGCTTAAAAAAATCAATTATAATCAAAAGTCTCATCTGTTGAATGGCTGCCTGGTTGTCAAAACTTTTTGGAAGAATAAAAAACAGAAGCATAATTGTTACTGGATTAGATGGTTCAGGTAAAACTTCTATTCGTTATAAACTATTGTTAGGTAAGTTTGCTATGAATATCCCAACCATTGGGTTTGGGGTTGAATCATTTGAATATAATGATATTTGTTTTAGCCTTTGGGAAGTTAAAGAAAAAGATAAAACCAAACCTTTATGGAAAGACTACTATACCTATTCTGATGGAATTATATTTGTTATTGATTCAACTAATACCAAAGACCAATTAGTACAAGCAAAAAACCTTCTTAATCAAATACTTAAATTTAAAGAATTAGAAGGAATTCCTTTATTAATATATATAAATAAATATGATTTACTTCAAGACAAAAATGTGGCTGATATTACCAACCAGTTAGGATTAAACCAAATTAAAGGAAGAGAATGGTATTGTCAGTCATCTTGTGCAATCAATGGAGATGGTCTTTATGAAGGTCTTGATTGGCTTTCTTCAAAAATCAATTGATAAGTAATTCATTTTTATGTTTATCAATTGTATTATGAATTTAAATCAAGAAGGTTTAATTTCAAATTAAGTTTTTTGATGTTTGAGAGAAACAAATTCATGACTTAAACATTGTTGAATTGTAAATCTTTTTTGTTCATCAACCATTAACATGTTTTTAATGAGGTCTTGTAATTCTAATGAAATCATATTAAACTCTTTTTGATGACAAATTTTACCATTTCTAATATTAACCCTCAATATTAATGATGAATTTACTCCTTCTTGATTAAAAGGGAACATTCCAATTGACATATAAAATAACATTACCCCACAACACCAAATGTCTGTTTTAAATCCATCATAAGGTCCACTTTGAAGTATTTGTGGAGAAGTGTAATTACTTGTTCCACACTTAGTTAGAGTATATTCTTTTGTTTCTAATATTTTTCCTAATCCAAAGTCCATTACAACGATATTAAGTTTATTATATTCTTCATTAGTTTTACCACGAATCATTATATTTTCAAGTTTTAAATCTCTATGTATTATTTTATTAGAATGAAGATAGTTAATTGCATTAAATACTTGTCTAATAATTATTTTAATTTCATTTTCATTAAAAATGTGATGTTGTTTTAATTGAAGGTATTGTTCTAAAGTTAATCCTTCAATATACTCCATAATAATATACATAAATCTTTGTGATTGTATTGTTTCATATTTTTTTATAATATTTTGGTGATGAATTTGTTCAAGTACTTCACTTTCTCGTTGTGCAATTTCAGACTTCTTTTTCTGAGTTATATCAATTATTTTTACTGCATTTATTTTATTATTACTCTTTCTTTTAATTTGAAATACTTTTCCAAAAGAGCCACTTCCAATAAATTTTATAATTTGATATTTTGTATAAAAACAACAACACATTTCTTTTTCTTCGAATTCTTTTGAAATAAAGAGAATGTTTTGTCTTATTGATGTCTTTGGAATTGGAATAGAAATAATATCTAATGAATTGATGAATATCTCTATATCTCTTTTTATTTGTTTATTATTATGAAATGTAATTACATTTGTTTTTACTGTTAACACATATTCTTTTTTCTCTTTTTCTCCTTTAATTTCTATTTGAAAATGTTGTCTACTAATCCAAATATATTTTCTTAGAAATTCAACTTCATTTCTTCCATAAACAAATTGTTCTTTTTTAATTGTTATTCTTCCTATTTCTTCATTTCCATTAAAGATAATAAGACTATACAAATGTTCATTCATATTTTTCAATTATTTCTAAAACTAAGTTCCATTCTTCTATTGTAAGTTTCTATTTTCAATTTGTATTTATTTAAAAAATTAAGAAAAATAATTATTAATAAATTTATATACTTCTCTTTATTGAGTTTTAATGGTTTTTGTATTAAAAGTATTTTCTTTTTTTAAAAAAGTGCCATTTTATATCTGGATTTATTCTTTTATTAGAACATTGATTTAATTATTAATAAATACTGTATTACCAATGACAAGAATCTACACCTTTTCAAATTC